GGCGCGTGCTGCGTCGCGCTGGCCGGAGCCGTGCCCCCGCCGCAGGCGTCTGGCGGTGACGGGGAGATGTAGCTGCCTGGCGTCTGAGAAGATACGAACACAGCAGCTTGCGTGAGGTCTCCGAGGGGTTTTTTTCACTTGGGCACTTGCAGTAGGATTCACCTGACCAAGTCTGGTCTCTGCAGTGTGAGGGCCAGCGTCTCGGCACTCTCCCTGCTGCCTTGGGCTACAGCCGGTGATGTTTTTTTAAATCAAGGCTCGGTGATTAAACCAAGACCGTTCATGCGAAAGGAACATGGAAGGGAGACCGGATTGCGTGGGTCGCCCTGGCAAACCGAGCAAGGTCCTGGCAGAACTGCACGGTGAGCGCGGATTCAGAGCCGGCCTCTGCAGGCAGTTGTGTCGGTAGCAGCATCAGAAGGCAGCGAGATTTGGACTCGAAGAAAAGAGACTGAGAAAGTAGAAACATTTTCAGCTCACTTTCATCTGAAATGCTGACACTACCAGAGACAGGAGGAAAAATGTAATCGCTGAATTTGACAGACAGCCCGGTGGTGAATGCACAAACATGTTCAGAGAAGGGAGCTGGATGTTTTTGTTATCTGGTTAGAGAAGGAGGGATGACATAGGGAAGGAAAGGTGCATGGAAAAAGGAAAAAAATATCCCAGAAAGACTCAGCAGAAGCTGGATCCAGAGAGAGAGAGGAGGGAAGAGACGGAGAGGAGAGGGCTGAGGAGCAGGCAGGCAGCAGCTTGTCCGTGACCGGTGCAGCGAATGGAGCAGCTCCTGCAGCCGCCACCGCTGCTCTGCGAGCTTTAAAAACCCTCCCGCAAGGCTGAGCACACGCTCCGCAGAAACTTGGTGCGATTTGCGTGTCGGTGCTGGGGCGGAGGGCGGTGGAGCGGCCGAACCTGAGCAAGCAAAAGGTTTGTGCAGTCAATCCGCTTTCCCTCCCATGCTGCAGGCGCTGGCTCTGCTCCGGAGATCGTCCCCAGCTTCCTGCGGACGCTGCTGGAAGGCTCGGCTGAGCAGCTGCGCTCCGGGCCGGTGGCTCAGTACGAAGTCGATGATCTGACCCGAGCCGCTTTGACCGCGCTGAAGGAGAGCATCGATGCGCTTTCTCCCGAGCACATCAAGGCCCTCGTCAATCTCCTGGTAATTCCTTCCTTTTATCATCATCATCACGAACGTCCGTACCTGTGCAGCCTCGTCCCAGGTTCTGGACAAAGCCACCCAAAGAGTTTAAGGGAAGCATCCCCTGCCTGGGGGGCTCGGGTGCGTGCCAGC